GTGAACGGAAAAGGTAGTTTACCTAGAACTAAAATATTCCATATTGTAGAATCCAACGGTGACATCATCATTTGTGTGTTATTGTGCGAGGCGAAGCCGAGCAATGTGTTAACGGTTCTATACAAACGTGAGACTGGGTGCCATTTACATTAGGGTGTTATACCCTCCAATTGCATACAGAAGCCAGTTTGTTCATATTTTGGCGTTTATTGGGAGACGCCGAGGGGTAGGACGATACGGTCTTTACCACCCGCACGTTAGTAAGGGAGTTATTGCATTGGGGTAAAAAATGACCCCCAACTTTTTTGTACGAAAATACACGTTTTGAAGCACCAGGTATCCGAATCAAACAAAATCTCTATGATGTCGGTCTGTCGGTCCGTCTGTACTCTCATTTCCGATTAAACGGCTTAATCGATTGGAACCAAATTTGATACACATATTCTCAGACATAAGAGGAAGAGATGAAAAGGTTTTGGGCATAATCACGCATGCGTAAAGTGTCAAAAATGTTAAATTAATATTATGGCGAAACTTTTGCGTCGAATTGTACCAAATTTTGTAGATGTGTATATAGACACTTTGTCACAACCCGCACATTTACGTTGGTAGGGGAGGTATTGCATTGGAGGTCGGTCTGAACTTAAACAAATTTGGTACACATATTCCTAGACCTAAAAGGAAAATCTGAAAAGATTTTGGGCAGAAACGCGCATGTGCAGGTGTGCGGGTGTTATCTGTGCTGGTCACAGCAAATTTTTACATTGGTCTCCTAAAGTGTTCGTTCATATTTTAGATTCCACGGCAACTTGGGTACATGCGTGAGGCGAGGCGACGCAGCCGCCGAAGTCGAGCGATGTCTTCTTTTGTGTGTCAATGTGCGGAGCGAAGCCGTGCAATGTGTGAACGGTTGTATATAAGCGTGAAACTGTTTAGCATCTAAATTAGGGTTTCATGTATGTTGCGCAGAACGCAACTTACTTATTTACGGAGCAATTTGCACGAAACTTTGGTGTTAGGTCCTTCCACAGAGTTGTATATAATAAATAGAGAGACAGTGTTGTTGCATAAAATTCACTCCAATTGGATCTTGCGCAGGCCGTTGACGAGTGTGCGCACTAACCGGATGAAGATATAGTGACCAATAAACAACGTAGGTGCGAGCAAAACAAACGCATTTCACGCACCGCGAATGCGCCACAACGCCTTGGCCGTTAAAACTATATAAGTATGTGACCACTGTAGTTGGAGTTAATTTTGCAACGCGCAGGTCCTGTGTAAGCTCCTCTATTTACTATATACGAGTACAACTCTGTGGGTCCTAACAAAAACAAATGAAATGCGCTTTTTAAAACTCGTATTGCGCATGCGGAGAGCGCAACTGTCTTATTTATGGAGCAATTTGAACGAAATTTGGATGGTAAGTCCATCTAATAAAAGCAAATAAAACGCATACGCAAAAGTCGTGTTGTGCGCAAAACGCATCATTCTTATTTTCGGCGGTATTTGTGAGAAATAAACTCACTCTGCGGAGATTTAAAATGCAAAGCATTTTTACCAAACCTATAGGATGAGATTGACTAAAAAAGAGAGTATCAATATATTAGTTCATTTTGAGCCGAATCAAGTTTCTTTCTTCTTTTTTCGGCCTTTTACAATATTCTAACCACACAGAACACGGTTCAAACTACATTATCAAAACAATCAAGCAAAAAAACAAAAAATTGACAAACGGTAAACACACAAAACGGCGATTGTTAATTAAAACGCCGTGGATCGGCCGAACGAGCGAAGCCGAGTTCCGTACCGATCTAGTTGTATAATATAATAAACTCATTTGCAAGCGGGCCGATGACGTCTTCTATACCCTCTTTAGCCAGACAACGTGAATTAAAGGATGGACAAAACTTAGGAGTGGATCAAAACAAATGCAGTTAGGATCCTGAGAGGGAAGAGTGCTACTCTAGCATTGGGCTCGATTTTAACAGAATACTTACAAACCTCCTGGAAAACAGTCGACAGAGGGATTTGGCTCCACAACCTCCCGAAAAACAATACCATACGACGCGTGGCACGCACGTTAAACCACCGTACTTCGTAATGGAAAATCCCCCATCAACTAAAGATTACAAGACCTGGACGTGGAGTCCGCTATTTTAAACTCTCCAGATCATACAAAGAGCGAGAGATACAAAAGACATACAAATAAATTTCGAAATTTGTGCTCTTTGATTACTAGACGCTAATATTTCAGTTAACTGCAATAAAATAGGTTAGATAACCAAACTTTTAGTGCATCGTGGACCAGGTACATTCGTTCATTTTCGAGTTGCCTATTACTGCCTGATTTCACACACGGTAGTTAAGGTTATCGAATAAATAGAAATATTATAATGTTGTGCCACCATTGATTATAACCTTAATAAGAGTCGTTCACCATTTCGAATCGATTTTAATGCAGTATACTCATTCTTAATGGTAATCAACAGAACAAAGGAAAATGCACCTTCTCAATCTTTTAAAATGACATATATCCTTTCTTACACCAGATTATTTTTAAAACTCCTAATAGCCGGTGGGGTTCGCGCGAGGGTCCCAGTTTTTTTTCATTACAAGTGGACATTATCTTGGAAATGTTATCTTAATGCATGAAAAAGAAACCTATTTTTTTTTGGAAAAACTAAGTAAATACACATATTACATATAATTTTCCGAATCATTACACAAGTCTTTCCATGTGATTGGCACATATCCTTCTTACACTGGGAACATTGTGCACTTTAACTTTTTGGTCTTTGCTCCTCGGGCACAAATGGCATCTTCCGTTTTCGGTTGATCCGTCTCTGGCGCTTCGTTCTCCTGGTTTTCACGTACCTACTTTATTTCCAACTGTTTTCAGTACGGCAGTGATGTTACTTTTGGTGATTTAGCGTCGAAGATTATAGCATGGAACGCTAATAATGTGATTTTGGTATCTCATAGGGAATTACAAGTGAAGTTAGCAAAATCGCTTATAATTTGAATTTTTTACAATACCAGTAGGTATATCATTACGATGAGGCTATCCGAAGATAATATGAAGTAAACATTAATGAAAACGTATATGGAATGAATAATTTCAACAATATTCAACATTAAAATTTTATATAGACACTTATTACCGGGCTGGGGCCGATCGGACAGCAAGCATGTTTTTCGACAGACATTCTAAAATATTCGTCTATATACTCAACATTTTTATATTGTTAGTTATTTACCTGATACATAAAACTATATAAAGACAAATGTAACTGAGTCTCGTAAAATTTGAAAAAAATTAAACACCATGTAATAACAGCATTAGGAGCCTTGGGGATCCACGCGAACTCCACTCGGTGTTAGGAGGGATATTTGCTCTTCTTTTATCAAATGAGACGTGTGATTCATTTGAGCTATTGCTTACTTTATTAAAATATAATTTCGTTGAGTGAATCGTTATTGAATGATAATATTGCTGTGATATTTCGTCTGGCAGGACGAAATTTTGGGATTCATAACTAGGATGGACAAGGGCGGTTTCCTATTTTCTATGTAATTAATTTTCTTATTCTAAATTTTTTTGTTTTGTGTCGTTGGTTAAGTACTCGAACAGAAATTATTGTTATGAGAAAGTGGTCAAGGTTTATATTTGTTTACATTTTAATCTCATCTTTAATTTTATTTAACTTAGATTTCTGAGAATTTTATATCACTTTTATTCTGTTATCGTTGTAAATGCTTAATTTAATTGACAGGTGGATGTTATTTATCGCCTTTTCTTTGTATTTAAAAGACAGAAAATTCTATTTTTCCTAGTATTTTAATTTTGTGTTATCTCTTAATGTCGGTTAAAAATTGATTATAAAAATAATATCTACCTCTGGTTTAACGTGCGTTAGGGGGGAAATTTTCTGTTGTCAACTGCTTATCATTGGCTGTTTTAATTTGTAATTTGGAAGAAGGGTTTCCACCTTAAATAGAACGGACTGAGAAGAGGAAAGGCTTTTTGCCACTGTCAACGCAGAACTACGTTTGTTTGAAATTTAAATCGCCTTTTTCCAAGTTGAGAGCAGATCCACGTCTGCAGAAGTTTGAAGTTTGTTTTGGAGTTGTGAAGTTTTAATCGTCAGTTTTGTTGCCAGTTAGGGCAGTTTTTGAGTTGAGTGAAGATTGTTTATTTTCGCTTCGGCGAGTTACCGCAGTAGTTTGGATTGTGTAGAGGCCAGCCAGTTTTGGAAGGTGGTGGAGTTTCCGTTTTACGGAGTGGCAAGCCGAGTTACGGCAGTTTTGGAGGTTTGGACTTTCAGTAAAGTGCGTCACTAAGGTGTGGTCGGCGCCGACTTAGTGTTTTTTGTGTAACTTTGAATTTGTTGTTTTTTTGTTGTAACGTATTTGGATTAGCAGTTCTGGACATGTACCGAATGTAAGTAAAATTAAGTTTTAATTTTAGTTTTTTTGTTTATTTGTAATAATTGTTTGTGTCTCTCAATTTTCATTGTGTGTGTAACAATTAAATTGGAATTTCGTAAATTTCACAATAATGTCGGTGTATGTCATTCGAACGATTTCATTTCCTTTAATTTACTATTTTCTTTGGATACTTGTCCAAGGTCCATTTTATTTAATCAAAATTCTTAAGATCGATTTGGAATTTAAGGTATTTGGTCTAACCCACTATCTGGTAGGAGTTAATAATTTAACTGAGAAAAGAGCCGAATTCCTCCTCTGTGCTGGGGAGAAGTTTTGTTCCGGGGAAGATAAAGGTTTGAGCTAGCCAGGTTTGTTTAGGTGTTTTGTGTACGGTCTTTTTGGCCTACGGACCGGTGCACACAGCAATATGTACTCGTATTATAAAAATTGCGAAATTTGATAGTGAGTACCTACCTAGACTTACGACACAGGAAGATAAATCATAACCACAATATCCGTAGTTCCTCGCCTACTTCTAAGGATATTTCTACATTTTAGCTTGAGACTTACAATAAACGTTTAATAAAAATGCACCGGGTTGAACTGGTCGGTTTGCTTGTAGCTAGCCTCCTAATCGGTTCTCATTCGCATCGGTTCTCTAAAGGACAATCTAGTATCGCCTATACGATTGTAAAAACCTTTGACGAAATTAGTAATCAAAATGATAAACTAAAAACGATAATTAAATCGTTTTTTGGCGATCAGTCGACGTCAACTAAGGCGCCTGAGCCAGCGGAGGGAGAGTGCTTGTGTACACCTTTTTATTTATGTAATAATGGCGAAGTGAACAGAGATGGGAGTAAACTTTTTGAACCTAGGTATGTAATTAAGATTTGTAGTTCGTCGTTGGTGACGATAATCCCTAATATCGTAAGTGGTTAAATCAATAAAGGTTTGAGGGACTTTTATTTAAATATAGGTAGTAGCGTTGACGGATTCGTTCCAAAATACTTATTTCCTAGAAGCAAGAGATTCTTCCATTCGGAAACTAGCGGGAAACACTCGAATTCCTCATTATTCACTATCCCCTAATTTTAACAAGTATACATTCTAGTAGTACTTAGATGATGTGTATGATTGTATTTGAACTTTTATTTTTCAGATTACTTCAAGAGTCTGTAAATCCCTGCAAAACCGTGGGAGATATCTGTTGCCAGTCACTTACTCGTAGTCCTCCTCTAAGAGAGAAAGACGACCGAATATCTGATAACTATTCTTGCGGATATGGAAGTGAAATACCAGGAGATTATTACATTTCTGATCCTACCACGGCAAAGTTTGGTGAATATCCATGGACCGCTTTAGTCTTGAATTTAAAAAATCAGTATCAGTGTGTCGGTTCCCTAATACATCCCGAAGTTGTTCTTACTACGGCGCACTGTATCAACGATTCTGAAAACTATATTGCAAGAGTAGGACAATGGAATACTACAGGAAACATTGAACCCTTAGCCCACCAAAATATGAGCGTAAAATCAATTGTCAAGCACCCCAAGTTTGTTTTTGATAATTTAATCCACAACGCAGCCTTACTGTTTTTGGAAAATCCTTTTAAGTTAGACAGGAATGTGAATACAGCTTGCTTAGCAGATTCGTCTACGGTGCCGTATACTCAGTTGAGGAAATCGAAATGTGCAGCTACAGGATGGGGAAGTGATGTCCCGAAAGGTATTTACAGGAGGGCAATGAAGAAAATCGAATTTTCGCTGATTTCAAACCCCCTTTGTCAAAATGAATTTAGGAAAACTCGTTTAGGAAAATGGTTTCAGCTACATCAAACCTTCCTTTGTGCTTTTGGGAAAAATGGAAGGGACTTGTGTTACGGTGATGGAGGTGGTCCACTAGTTTGTGAAATCTCACGACAACCGCTAAGATATCTGCAAGTTGGCATTACATCTTGGGGGCTTGGCTGTGCCAACAATCTACCGTCGGTATTTACTAAGGTTACGTCGATTAAGCATTGGATTGATCAAGAGATGAGTGCACGTAATTTGGACACCAGTTACTATACGCCTATGTAACACAATGTAATTTGACCTCATTGTATAACTTTAGCTATTGAATACTGTAACAAGTTTAACGTGACGTTTAAGTGCGTTCCACTGCACGCTTTTTTACCAAAAGGGTTAAACCTAAATTTATTTAATAGGAATAACTTGTACCTAATCTTTAGCACGGCATCCGTGCACTTTTAACACGGGATCTGCATCGGAAGTGAACACTTTTGGTGTGGAAAAACTATGTCACAGTTCTGATGCTGTTTAGTTTCAGTAGTTTGTTCGTCTGAAAATAAAGAATACCTTTCAGCTATCTTCTACGGACTGCAATTTTATTGTATTCGGAGCTAAGTCCCTATCATGATTTCAGTGAGGAGTCCCTCCATGATGCTTTGAAATTTATATCTTGAGCACAGCTGACCAATCTGTAATCATACAAGGCCCACCCCGTACCTGCCAGGCTTCCAATCTTAATTTATGCGCCCGAGGAAAGGGCTTTTGAGTGTGGGCGTCTATGAGGTAAAGATGAAGGTCTATCGGCCTAACTGGAAGACTCGGCGCTCTTGCTTTTACATCCGCCAACCAAAATACATTCTCCCATTTTGGGACAATTAGGATAAAAATTCCTTCTGCTGCACTGAGATGATTCAAAAGCAAAACTCTGGGGAATTGGCTGGGCGGAGGAAACGCCCATCCTAACCTCTGAATTGTTGGAAAGAGATGTTTTCCATCAATCAGGATCATTCTATCAGCACCTTTTTCGAAGTTGGGAATGTTATGCTTGGTTCTTCTTCGGGAAGCGACAATCTTGCTCGGAGCAAATTTCTTGTGTTCAGTCTTCCTAGGGGATCACAAAAGACGCGAAAGACAACTTTCCCAGCATTCTTTTGCCTAATCTCCAACTCCACTGGTGAAAGGTTAAGATTATTTGTAAATCTTGCTTTATTGATTGTCTTTTCTTTAAGGGCAAAGAAATTTTGTCCTCATCCGTGTCGCATTCGATCCCTAGGTACTCCAGACATGACTGAGTCTCTACTATTGACTTTTCTTTGTTCAATTGTCCTCCTAGATGCCGTAGAAGTGTTATTACTTCTTTTGTTTAAAAGCATAGAATATCATTCTGCATCCTGGTAGGACTCTGCAATTGTCAGCCTCGTTTTCAATTTAGCTTGTGAAGGATTGAAAATGCACAAATGTAATAGGTATTATGGTATACGTATACAAAGTTTTAGTTTCAGTCATGTAGTTACTCAAGGTGTAAATGTGTTCATTAACATAATTTATTTGAAACAAAAATCACTAACTCGTTTTCAAGATTGTACCATAAACTGTAATTCAACGAAAATTACTTTCGGAATAGTTGCTACTTGCTGTAAACTTTAATTAATTTCAACGTACTTTCATGATTGTACAGTTATTAACTTGCCATGGTCAGCTAGGGCAGCCACCGCGCCTGACCGTCAGTATATTTGGTGTTGTGAGCAGAGAAACAACTTTACTATGTAAACTTTATAAAGTTAGCAACCAGAAGTCAGTATGCTCCAGGGGTGTGGATATTACAATACTTTCGGTTTAGATGTAGCATATGCTCGAACTAGAACTTAAATTAATTGCATTCAATTTAACGTCGTCTTATGCACAAATTAGACTTCGGATATGATTTTGCGAGAAATGAAAATGTTCTCTATGGCGAATCGCAACTTAGTTTAATTAAAGATAATTTAATTCCAGACATTTGTGATTAAAGTTTGATTAAATTTCAAATAAAACTATTCCAACATACCTACTCGTTCATTCACAGAAAAGCCAAGGAATGGAAACGTTTCAATTCGAATTAATCTAAACAGAATCCGATAATGTTCTACCAATTTGGTAATCTTGCACTACGAATGCGTGGAATAAGATACTATAATTATTAAACGTACATAATAAGAATGTACTCATAACATCAAAAGTGTGTGAGCTGATGCTTTACAAGAGGTTGGCTAAAAAAATAAGCAACCCCTCTACTTACATTTTTGGAGATGCCTTTAAGGATTAATGACCATATTCTCCGTTTGAAGTTTTGAACGTTATATGGATCATGGATGGAATAGGATGGATGGGTCATGAATCCTATTTAAGCCAAGCTGTAAGAAGTTAGTCTTCATTGAGACTCTTTCGTAGATAGTACGTAATACCATTGAATAAAAACACTATAGTGTTTTTATTCAATGGTAATACTGATTAGGTTCGGGTATGACCTACACTCTTCCGAGTAAGCACTAGAGTACCTAGTATGTAGAATATCAATAAAATTATAGTGGTATACAGTGCTATATATGTAACATCGTAAACGATTTACATAAAGCGCATTTCCCCTTGCATTCATTTCCCATTTGTAAGATGCAACTTCTGTTAAAATCGTAAAAATCCGGCCACAAATATGAAAGATAGCGTTGCACATGGGCAATCCATTGTTGACGTGCTACTTCAATTTCAGTTTATGAGAAGAATTTCATTTCAATGCTTTTCTAAATAAGAAAGTTGGAACTGCGCATGCGCAAACCTAAATTTTGAAACTAATGTTAGATTTTCCTTTGTTCCAAGCGCCTAAGTATCAAATTTCACTTAAATGCTTCCATAGATAAAAAAGTTGGCACTGCGCATGCGCAAAATAAAATTTTGAAACTGGCACTAGATTTTCCTTTATTCCAAGTGCCTATGTATCACATTTCATTTAAATTCTTCCATAAATAAAAAAGTTGGCACTGCGCATGCCCAAACCAAATATTGAAATTGGCGTTTGATTTTCCTTTATTCCAAGTACCTATGTATCAAATTTCATTCAAATACTTTTATAAGTAAAAAAGTTTGCAATTCGGTTTATAAATGGTCGAGATGCGAAAAGGGCACTGTGAATTTTGAATCGATTCGATTCAACTTTTGGCATTGCGTATTATATGGCTAAAGCTATGCCCATATTGAATTTCATGCAATTCAGTTCATAACTAACGGAGATGTAAAAGCGATCGAACATTTCTAAACAAAGTTATCGTTCACACGGACAGATAGATGGACAGACAGACAAAGGAACAGACGGACAGACCAACCGGCAGACGACAGATAGCAATGCAAAATTATAAACGATCTCTAGGATCGTTAATAAACGGCAAAAGTGTAAAATTATGGAACATGTAAAAAACGGTTTTTTGTTTTTTTTACAATAACTTTTTTTGTAAGCGGTACAGAAAAAATTCCTTCCTTGGTACAAGACTCGACACCATAACGAACCAAATAGCGAAAAAAGTAGAACAATAGCTCTTAAGATAAAGAACTACTACTCGCAAAACGAGCGGACGGACGGACGGACGGAGGGACGGACAAAGTGGCCACATTTTTTTTTATTTTTGTGGAAATGCGCTAAAAAGGGCGGTGGAGAAGATTAAAACAAACACTTTTTCCAAATAAAATGAGGGTTCAACGTGTTTCGTTAGGAAGCCAACCCACAAAAAGTGGTGTAATTTACATTTCTATTTTAATTTTTTCTCAGCAACCGTAAGAGTTACAAAGACTGGCGGCACGTCTTTGAGTAGGTTTTGGGGTATGCCCTGTTCGACTTCGAATTTTTTTTCAAAATTTCTACCATGAAAGGGCGCATCCCTAAATGGGGGTGCGAAAGGAATTTGATTTCGACGAAATTTGTTATCTGGGGGTTTACTGCCAGCCTCACAAGACAAGATGTATTACAGTCAAATTTGCTTTAAAAGTAGTATAAACTGGATGTTGTAATTTCACTCAACGAAACCAAGCGTATCCTATGTAGAAAAAATCCGCTGAATCGGAAAATGCCGGAAACGTCCGGAACATATTGTTATTAACAAAAAACGAAGAAAAAATGAGAAAATGTCATGTTTTTTCGCATTTGCTATTGGTCTGAGGGACCAGAATTAATAGAAATGAACTTATTTAGAATAAAATTTTCTATAAGATACAGTTGGTCCGGAACGCACATTTTCAATTGTTATTGTTTTTTATGGAAAAATGTTAAAAATTAATATCTAAAATTAACAGTTTGTTATTACCAAGTAAAATTCATCCGATCTTTTTGAAAATCCGTATTTAGTAACTTTTTTTGATAACAAAACACTATGACAAACGCGGTCACCGTAGGTTTCATAGTAATTGATTAATTAAATAAACAAGTAAAAAAAGGGATGCTTTGTCTTTCAAACTGGGGGACTACAACAGCGTTCCCAATTTTTTTATACATAGTTTAACCCTAAAACAATCTTTTCCAATAATTCTTGCAAATCGACGGACTGTAGAATTTTTTTTCGGAATTCGAAAAATTTTCTTAGTTACCAAACTCCCGCAATATAACAAAAAATATAACTCTATAATAGGCGAATGGATAGCTCTCGGAAAGACGTACATTAAAAAAATACGTCCAAATCCGATTAACAGTTCACGAGAAATCAGCTTTTGACTTTGGGCCAGTTTTCGAAACAACCAAAAATGATTTTGCAAATCGGGTCGTACCGATCGATTCTTTTATGCTTCTATTTCGCCAAAATGAATGATTTTTATTAATTTGAGTGCCAAGGACCGATTATAGAGTTAACTTTCTTGTTATATCTCGGAAGTTATTCCATTTATTAGTTAACTAAAAAAATTCCAACTTTAAAAGCAAGAAATGCGCACGTTTGAAACAAATTAACGGTATGCAACCAACATTACACGAATACGCGAAAATCTATAAGCGTTATACTTCTTCCTATGATTACTTATTCAATAGTACTACTGTGTTCAGAATACAACGTGTCTACTTCACGCTACGGCACAATATCATCATAAATAGTTTGGTTAAGCACATTGTTCCTTGTGGACAGTAATTTTCAAGTTTTGGTTTCTAATTTCACCTTTAGATCAAAAAATCTAAGTTTAAAATTATACTATTCCTTCAACAACGTTCCATAGCAAACTCGCCGCAAGCCAATAAAAATCTTTTGCGTGTGAGTTTAAAATTCCTACCATATACGTATAAAAATACAAAGAACTCATTCGAATATCGTTCAAAAATTTACATTTATAATCCACGCCCTCAGTCGACGTGTAGGTACATATCACAATAATAAATATTTTTTAAACCTGGGATTAACAATTACGGTCGTGTGGATTACGTGATGAAATGATGTATTAAATGTTAGGGTTGTACGCGTTACGAACATCAACGTCATAAAATGCTGCTGTAACGTCAAGTATGCTTAAAAGGTAATTAAAAGTAACATTACTCGCTTTTACGGAGCTGTATGCAGTTAATATTTTAACATTATTTGTT